ATATTAATTATTGTAAAATATAATTAAAATTGGAAACTCATTAGATACCCGCGAATACCCGCTACCCACACAGATACCTGCATACTTGTTTGTAATTTTTGGGTCACATTTGCATTAGCATGACATATCACTCATATCATCACCAAGTATGATGAATTAGACACTTAGGGTAAAAGACTTCTCGTTTCATCACTCATATTTGAGATTGCTTTCTTTATAATTGAATTAAGTCTCGGCACCTTATAAAAGTCTAGAACCTTGTAAGGAGCACACTATAGATATCATAATACTTTTCTCTAGGACTATGACGTTTAGATGTTCCTTACAATTACAATTATACACATTTAGAACACGAGAAGCACACCTTAATTTTTATTCCTCCATCATTTATATGTCTAGTCATAAACCAGACTCTTTTCCCTTAAAACAAACCACTTAACAATCACCTCAAACCCTAATGTTGATATGATTGCACATTGGTATCTATATATCATGGGCATATCTCATCTGCATATGAACCCTTAATGGGACCCATTGTCCTATGGGTCACCTTCCTCATAAAAATAAATTTGAGTAACTCATCTTTACCTTAGGTTAGTCTGAACTATATGAGAAGTGCCAATCTACCATGATACTCCATATGTTAGGACTAAACCACCCCAAGATATGGTTCATTATCCAAAGCCCAAAGTGTTATGCATTACTCATTATCATTCACCAATTCACCAACTTACTCATAGATTTATTCACTAGTCCATTCACCAATGCATTCAAAAATAAATAATTCAAACATCTCTTCATTCATTCATTCACGTGTAGATGCATCTAAAAAATATACATCATCCATTCATATGTTTAATAAAAAATAAAAAAAGGAAAAAATAATATATCATTCATGTGTCATCTACCTAAAATATATTGTTCATACATTCATCTATTTATCCATTCATGCATGCATTCATAAAATTAATCATTCAGACATTACATTTTATGCATTATCATATCATGCATTCCAATCACCTATTTTACTATATCATTTCATACAATATCTTAAAATTCCTCATTCATTATCGAAAGACAAAATAACAAAAAATCATTTCATACCTCCTTAAGCATTTAATTGTTACCTTCGTGCATTACAAATCATGTGCATGATGAATTTGCATTTTTTAATGCAATCTCATGCATGCATCATATGCATAAAAAGTTGAACTCTCATGCATTCCAACCATGTATAAAAAATGTGGACAACTTCATGCATCTCATGTATAAAAAATTATTTGATATGCATACATTTCATGATCTCATTGCGAATGATACTCAAACATTGAAGGTTGGTGTTGAAAACAATATTATTAGACTCGACTGAAATTAGTCATGGTTGGAACTCAAGCAATTCAAGAAGATAGAGAGAATCATAATTATATGAAGTTCTTGTCTATGTTTAAGAGCACATGAGCTAAACTTGTCATACAAGATAGTGCATTGTCTTCTGCCTCAGCTTAATCGGGGAACAATTTGAAAACTTCTCATCATTTGAAGATCTCAATCAAGTCAATTGTTTCCTACACTAACTTATTCTTCTATTTTTCATGAATAAAGATTTATTTTCTAATGCATTGATATATTGTGTAGCAAGAGAAAAAAATAATCATAGACTAGTTTTTGATTTGGGAGATAAACTAATGAGTGAGATAATATGATATAAATATGGGAGAGAATAACATCTAAAATATGAGAAAAATATCTATATACAGACAATATCATTCACTAATTAATATTTGATTATGATTGACTTTTAAATATAAGTATTATAAATAGGGTGGATGATTTATTGATTGTGTATAAATTTTTATATTGACAATACATAGATTTTACACTCTTAAAATAATCTCGTATAATTATGAGTTGTAATTATGCATATGTTATCCATGTAGAGTAAAAAATGAATACACTATGTACGAGTTTTATACACTTTCATTCTATTATTCACTATTCATTTTTAATTATTGTTGACTTTTCAAAAAAATTAGTACAGATAAATAATAAATGATATAATGATCATGTATAATTCTTTATATTAATAGTGCACTGATATGATATTTCACTAATGTTATATATATATTAGAAAAATATTTTTTAAAAGAAAATTTAAAGAAGAAATGCCATCAATCCCACCATTACAATGTACTTTATATGTTAGAATTATATTACTCAAAAATGGGAAAACGTGTTGTTCTGTTTGAGATACATAGTAAAAAGAACGTCATTAAAAATATCTTTATTCATATATATATATATATATATATATATATATATCCCTCAACTCGTTCTAAAAAAATAGGATTTCGCGTAATAAGTTGTTGATATTCAACAACCCTTGTTAAAAAATAATCGCAAAAATCCAAACATTTAGCTATCCAACCATGAGGTAGATCAGCCGCTACCCCTCCGATACGAAAAAAATTATGCATCATTCTCATACCTGTTGCAGCTTCAAATAGGTCGTATATTAATTCTCTTTCTCTGAAAATATAAAAGAAAGGGGTTTGTGCACCAATATCTGCCATAAAGGGTCCCAGCCATAGTAAGTGAGAAGCGATACGACTCAACTCCAACAAAATGACTCGAATATAGCTGGCTCTTTTAGGTATTTGAATATTTTCCAACTGTTTCGGCCCGTTTACGGTTATTGCTTCTGTGAACATAGTCGCTAAATAATGGTGTATATATATATATATAGTCATTCAAGTGACAACAATTTTCCTATATAAATGTATGTTATGAGAATAATAAGTTTGGAATTTGTAACCATACATTGATGATTTGGTGTACACATTGCTAACATGATCCTTACTCACTCACTTAAAATATAAGTATTCTCTCAGGGTTATTTTAGTAAACAGCATTTATTAAAATTAAAAATTAACAAAATCATATATATATATATATATATATATATATCAATTAGTAATATAGTAACATATATAAACACTAAAATCACACAAAATTAATAATTTAAGCTACAAGATTGGTTGAAGAATGCAAATGATAATACAACATTATTCCCTAGTATTCATTTCTTTAATATGTGGTTCTGTTCCAACTGTTCTTAAATTTCTAAAACCATGAACCGAACCGTAAAAAAAAGTTGTTCATTAAACAAATAATTGAACTAAACCACAAAACCGAACCATATTTTGTTGTTTGATTCCATTATGTTCCACTTATTTCTTAGTTTATATGCTTACACCCTTATTTATGGAATTAATATATTAAAATACAAATATGTAGTAGATATTGAATTAGTGTATGGATACATATTTCTGACAAATTTAAATTATTTTCACAAGTTATTTTCATTAATTTGTTTTTATAAGTTCCCTTAAATCGAAAATAACATTAAAACAATTTATAAACAAAAAAATAAATAAATAATGAGTTTTGTTACAAGCTTATTTAAAAATATTTGACCGAATAAATTCATACTATGTCAGTACAACGAAAAAATATAAATAAATAGGAAAATATATTATTTAGTTAAGAAATGTCATGAGTGTTGTAATGATATATTTTTTAAATAAAAATTAGAATGAAAAGTAATGTATTCACAACTTTAACAATTTAAATATTGTTTTTTCAGGTATACTTTTTATATGTTTGTTGTGCTTTATTATGTAAGAGATTTCCTTAATATGCTTTTGTATTAAGAATTTATGTTTTTAATAAATTCATTAGCATTAATAATACTTATTCTCCTTTTATTTAATTTTTTTCAATTTAATATATATGGATCGTGAATGTAATGCTTTTTAGACATTCAACATATAACTTATTATTTTCCCAATCACTAATATATATATATATATATTCATATTTGATCATTTTCTACTAAAATATTTCTAAAAACTGAAAAATAATAATACACATATCAAAATTTTAATGATATGATATGAGAAGATACTTTATTATTTTTAGACTATTTTATTCTTTTCATTAATATACAATTCTTGTATAATGAGATACAAATTAGAAAAACCATCTATCTCACATTTAATTACCTTGTCCATTGATTTAATAAAGGGGTTTAAGGAACCACATTTTTTTAGTTAAGAGCATCTTAATATTGTGTATCATAAAGAATTGGACAAAAATAACATTGTTACTTTGTAGAGACAACACATTAGATAATGGCATTTTAGTAATATCAATCTTAAAATAAAAAACAATAATTTATCTCTCATTTCACTCCCACCTAAACTTTTAACTTTCCTCTTATCCCACCCAAACTTCATATTCTTCTTCCCTCATTTTGAAAAAACAAATCCCACAAGGCCACAACCCTCCACATTCTCCGCCATATTTTTCCATGTATCCCTCCTCTGGCAAATAAAACTCACAACCCAAAACTTCGATTTTCTTTTTAATTTTTAGAACCAAGGAAAGTATTTGATTTTAAAGGAAATTGTGTAGCCTTATAATTTCTTTTGATCGTGTTACCGAAAAAATGAAACAATGTGTGTGAAAAATGTTGATTTAATGAATGGTGATACTTGTTACATGAAAGAATATGGAGAAGAATGTAGAGGGTTGTGGCCTTGTGAGTTTTGTTTTTCAAAATGAGGGAAGAGGATGAAGTTTGAATGGGTGAAAGGACAGATAAATTATTGATCTTAAATTTAAGATTGATATTACTAAAATGTCTTAGCTGTCTCTACAAAGTAAAAAATTTATTTTTGTCAAATTCTTTATGATACACAATACTAACATGCTCCTAATTAAAAAAGGTGGTTCCCCGTATTAGCAAACACCTTTAATAAAAGAATAATGACCAAACTTATTTTATTTATCCATCATCACATTAAAAAAATAAGAATAACGACCGAACTTATTTTATTTATCCATCATCACATTAAAAAAATATTATTCATCAAAGGAGTGAGTCAAGCTGATTTAATGAAAGAATCAAACTTATGACCCAATTTTTTATTTTATTCCTAAAAAAACCTTTCTTTAATGTAAAAGGTATTTATAATTAAACACGTTACAGTAGCCATTTGCACTTTTGCAGTAAGAGTTTTATTTGAAAAACGCTAAGCTCAAAAGTGAAGAAGAAATAAGAAAAATGGCTTCTTTTAAAGCTCCAAAGAAAGTCAATCTTTTGGATCACAATTCAATCAAACACATTATCGATGAGTCTGTTTCTGAGGTTTGTTAAAACCCTAATCCCCTTTTCTTTTCAGATCTTACTCATTCTGAAAAAGTTTTAGTTTTTATGTATTTAATTGAGATTTTGGTTCGTACTTAATTTTTATTTTTTGTAACAGATAGTAAAGAGTAGTGGGTACGTGGAAAATGTTAGATTGAGCAATGTGAAGATGTTGATTGGGACCATCATAATTGTCATTGCTCTGTTTTCTCAGTTTTATAAGAAGAAGTTTCCTGAGAACAGGGATTTTCTCATTGTCTGCATCATCTTATATCCTTTACTAAAGTTTTGGAGTATTTGGGGATTTATTTTTTGCAAATTTGGGTTAATTGCTGTAGAGGAAATAATGATATTTGAAGAGTTAATCAAATTTATTGTTTGAATTTTTAATTTTGTTCTGCTTGGAATTAAGTTTTTGGAGTAATGTAGGATACGGCAATTTTTCAAATTTAAAGTTCCTTAGTTTCTTTGTTAGATGACATAAAATAAATTAGGCATTGGATGATTTTTTTTTCCATATATCAATTCACTGAATAGGGATCTGGTGTTCCAAACCATTTTCCGAATCCTATCCCGCACCAATGAAAACATGTCATGTCAATTAAAAAATTTAATCATTCATTATTTTATTTTTTTGCTTCATTGTCATTGGTGCGAGACAAGATTTGAGACATGATTTGGTACAACATATCTTTCTTCCAATTTACGTCCATGGCCCGGGGGGATAGAAATTTGGTTTAGGTTTTACAAAATAAAAGTGATTTCTGGCATCAATTGGCATTTTATTGACTTTGGTTCTGTTTTGTTTGATCTTTAACTATGTCACGTATGTTATCTTCAATGTGCTGTTGCAGCTGATCATACACACTAAGGAGAAAAATGCTATTCTGATTACTTATCCTCCTGCAGTAAGTTTTCAATATCTTAGATAAAGTATACATGGAGAACAGATGCTGTGTTTGGCTTGCATTCCCTATGACTAATCAGTATTATGACATGTTGCAAGGAAGTAATAGTGTTGAGAACGGGATCCTCTGTCCCAAAGTCACTATGTCCTCATGTCCTTAGCCAATCTACATCTTCCAAGTAATATAAAAACATTAATTTGTGTTTTTAATTTTTTTTTTAATTAAGTGACACTTTTTCATTGGACCGAGACAGCAATTGGGACAGGTGATCTCTGTCCATAGTGTTGTACACTAAAATGTCAGCAAAAGATTAAATTTTATGTAACACAGATGAAAATAATAAATTAGGACGAAAGTTGGGGTAGCTCCTATCGTAGGAAAGATGGTAGAATCAAACCTTGCGTGCTTTGAGCATGATAGAGCATTATAGCGTCGTTCAATCAATATACTCGACCCTACCCAGTGGAATTAAGACTTTGCTGTTGTTGTAGATGTTTATTTGTCATCTTTAGATGTATATTCAAAATTTTGGGGGTAAGATTGGTAAATTCATGAAGTGATATATCCCCCTGTTTTGTATTGTCAAGTTTGAATTTATTTTTCCAATACATAGAATAGATGAAACACATTAGTATTTTTCATATCTGACTTTGTGTGTGATTGAGCGAAAGAAAAGCATGCCGTCATCTTATTGTATTGCTCAATACTCATATAGACACAATACCAAGTAAATCACTTGTGTAATGATGGGTCACATGAACCTCGAAATAGATAAATTCATGAACTTAATATCGTGTTGTTGGTAAGACAGTAATGTTTATTCAATATTGTATGCATATAATCTTTTACTGAAGTATTTGCTTGATGAGCATTGAACAATGAAGCCAATGATACTAATTCATCTAGGTTTTCACATTCTAAGGGTGTTCAACTTGTATGTTTGTATCTTTGTGCAGACTGGTGTATGTTTTACTTGATACTAATTCATCTAGATATTTGTCAAATATATGGGGAAATAGTTGCAGAGGAATTTATGATGCACAGAAAAAATTAACGAAAATGCCTTCTATTTTTATTTGTCTTTGAATTGTGCCATGAAATCATGTAATGGTTTTGGTATTAGCTTTCCGTGCCTTTCCGGAAGAAGCTCAAGGCTTCTCAGCTTAACTTTACTGTGTTTTACAACTTATCTGTAATTTTATTGTTTTCGATACAGGGATCCTTCACCACTACCGGTTTAGTGGTTTCGTCAAAACTGCCTAGATTTTCAGACCTGTATACTCTTACCATAGAAAGTGCAGATCCAAAATCTGTTTCTGCAAATGAACCAGTACATTTGACCAAAAGTGTTACTGAATGGTATATATCTCTCTGGCTTAATGCCAAAACCTTCATTTCTATGCATACTGAAAATGATACTTAGACAAATTGCATCACTATCATTAAGTTTTTTAGAGATAAAAATGCATCAGTATATTTTTTGCTTGAATTGCAGGTTCACTAAGGATGGAATCTTGGTCGAAGGCCTCATTTGGAAAGATGTTGAGGCATTGATAAATCAATATACAAAAGAACCAAAGAAGAACAAGTGATTTTGCAGACATGGACTTAGGTTTGTAGTTCACTTACTGGAGTGGAGAAACATGTCAGAATATGGTTTATAATTCTAAACATTTACAATGAAATTGAATCAAGCTCTAACTATTTTAGAACACAAATTTAATCCCATATTTCGCTGGAGTATCACTTTTTTTTATATCAAAATCTAATATGATTACATCATGAAGATCTTGCAAAGAAGTAGAACTCATGTCAAGAGTAAGAAGTGTCATAGGACATGCAAAGATTTGTCCCTAGAAGGGTACCCTTCAACTAATGACTCATGACGAAATGTTCATCAAAATGAACAAGATCCTTTCCATTATATATAAAAAGATAAAAAAAATGTCTTATCATATTATATTTTCCTTTGTTTTTTATAATATTTGTCTCTCCATTAATGAAGATGATTCTTACTCCATCAAAACGAGTTGTTTCCAAACCAAATAGTGGTATCACAATAATATTAGGGGGTGACTAACTTGCCAACTACAAGTTAGTTCGCTTCCAAGCGAGCTAATTTGTGAGTCGTTAGATCCTATCGTCTTCAATCTCAACCGTTAAAATATTGACCGGGTAACTATTAATAGAAGTCGGTATGACAGGAAACAACTTCAACATAGTACAGAAGTCGGTATAGCCCAAACCGACTTTTGTATTGTTATGTTTAGAAGTCAGTATAGTAGGAAACGACTTCTGTTTAGAAGTCGGTATGACAGGAAATGACTTCTGTTCAGAAGTCGGTATGGCAGGAAACGACTTCTGTTCAGAAGTCGATATGGCAGGAAACGACTTCTAAACTAAATTCGTTAATCTTCATATCGACTTCCAATGTCATTGAAACAGTAGCTGGTAAACAAAAATTTTCATCTAACAGCTATAAAGTAGTTCGCTTCCGAGCGAACTACTAGCAAATTAGCAAACACCATAATATTAACTCTAGACCACTGAAAGCAGGCGTGGAATAGTGACAATCATATTTCCCACATATATTTGTGGATATTATTCTTTTATAGGCAAATGGTTTTCTTTTTAAGGGGTAACCACATGCATGTAGATAACAATGTTCGACTCAGGTAAGATAATTATAGGTCGAATTTTTTTATTTAACAAGTATTTAACGTAACTGAATTAAAATATTGAATTTGATACAACTAATTAAATTAGAAGAAATTATCATCAATTGATCTACCTTAATAATGATTGATCTTATTATATTTTGTTTATATAAATTTGACTCTTTAAAATAAATCGAGAAAACTATAAATTTGGTCCTTCAAATATGCATGTCACTAATTTAGTCTGGAAAAATTTGTCACCAAATAAGTTTCTAAAAGATATAATTGGTCACCAAGTTGGTCCTTTTGTTAAAAAGCTTTTCCCTATGAGATGTAAAGGGAAAAAAATAGAAAATTTCATATTACCATACATGTGGTTATAAATGTTATATCTTTAATAATATAAAAGAATATTTGATATAAAAGTCAAAGAATACATATTTCTTGGACAATTCATGTATGGTAAAGTATTTAGATTCTATAACAAAAGGACCATGACTATTGAAGAATCAATACATGTTGACTTTGGTGAATCTAACTCTCGAAATGAAGGGAAATGTATCAACAATAATGTTTGAGAATTATTATGAAACACGTATTTCAAAGAACAAGAGATTGAATAGAATGGAGAAAGACCTTGTACATCAAGTTAACAAGAACGAGATGATTCGCCAGAAAAATGGAAAAGATTTAGAGATCATCTTATTAACAAAATCATAGTTAATAAAAATAAGGGAGTGATAACCTAAAATTGCAATAAAAATATTTGTAATTTTGTATATCAAATAGAACCTAAGGACACAAATGTAGCTATTATGGATGAATGTTGGATTTCAGCTATACCAATTTGAACATTATGTGGTATGAAGATCTAGCTCCTAAGCTTAATGATCGTCACATAATAGGCACTAGATGAACTTTTATATATAAAAAAAACAATAAATTTGGCCTTATTATTACAAACAAGTTGGAGTTGTAACTAGCGACTACAACCAATAAGAAGGAATAGACTATGATGAAAGATATATACCTACAATAAGATTAGAAGCAATTGGATTGCTTTTAGCATTTACATCTTCAGTGAACAACTTTTACAAACAGATGTGAAAACTGAATTTCTAAAAGGTTTTATTCAAGAAGAGGTCTATATTGATCAACCATCTATTTTTGAGAATTAGGATTTCCAAATAATGTTTTCAAACTTAAAAGGCTTTGTATGGTCTAAATCAAGTCCCTATAGTGTGATATGATAAACGAAGCAAATTTATTTTAGAGAAGGGTTTGAAAGATTGAAGGTTGATATAATACTCTTTATTCAAAGAACTGAGCATTATATATTGTTAGTACAAATCTACGTTGACAATATTACATTTGGTGCTACTAACACCAATTTATGCAAGAATATTTCAAAGCTTATAACAAGTGAATTCGAAATGTATGATGACAAAGCTAAATTTATTTTTTGGATTACAAATCAAATAGATGGGTGATGGAATTTTTGTGACAGCAAACTTCCTTGTGGGGGTCGGTGTTGTTGCGATCGTTTTGCTTGAAATCTCAAAGATCGGTGCAGAATTGGCTTAAGACTTAGGGGTCTTGGTTTTGTGTTGGTTTAAGGTTGTATGGATTTATATTATGGGCTTGTTTGAGTGTTTGACCGAGAGTGTCTTGTGAACAAGTGCTTAAGGGTTAGTGTTTTGGTTTGTGTTTGATTTGTGTTTGATGGAGAGTGTGGATAGGAATTGTCTTATGAAAGGTGGCTAGATTTTGTGTGATTTAAGAAAGGTCACGATTTATGTTTCTTTTTGGTATTTTTGGTTTATGTGTGAGGGGAAGAAGGGGAAATGATGAGAATTGGGTATGCTTGGCCGTGAATAGTTGGTATGGGCGTGGCTGGAATGATATGAATGAGATATGGAAGTAGTTGTATAAAAGAATGTGGAAAAGGTTGAAGAGGGAAGACGCCACAAACATATAGCTTGATAAGCCGAATGAGATCCACCACAACAAGGATTATGATGAGGATGAAGGTAGGCACCACACCAATGAAAGTGATAAGCAAAGAATGCCACAAGGCAAGCTTGATAAGTTCAAATGGGGGATAGGAACACGACTCAACTACACAAGAGTTTTTTTTCCACAAATTCAAAGTTGTTTTCATTCATTTAGCAAAGGAATACATATAGGTGGGTTGGCCAAATGGCTCCCATGAGTTTGGACTTGGTCTTTAATACTAGGTGAGTTTTTGGCACGGTCATAAAGTGGCTTAAGCACACGTGCATGACTTACCTTAGAGTTAAAGTTATTTGATTATTTAATTAATTATTAAAAAATGACTATATATATTTACTTTGTTGTTGTCCCTAGTAATAGGAAATCTTGCTCCTACGTATTCCTATAAGCAATAGGGGATCAATGTTACGTAATTCTTTAGAAAATGAAACTCCCATGTTTATTATTTATTTTATTTTCGAAATTAATTATACTTTACATTATTCTGAAAATTTATTTTGATAGTAAAAAATCGTTTTGGTTGAGAGCAAGGAAAGCCATAGTGCCAATATTGCAAAAGTTTCAAGCACTCCGAACAAAACTGTTGAAACAAATATAATCATCATGTTAGTATCACCGAGGAGTATGAATGTGGTTAACAATTATTCTATGTCAACCAAGTCTGTCATGATAAAGAAGAAAGCTTGCACTTAAATAGTGGGGGCAGCAATCACATGGTTAAGGATGAGATCATTTTCAGAGATTTGGTAAGTCCGTCATAATGCAAGTTCGGTTGGGCAATGACACTATAGTAGATTCCAAAGTAAGGTGCTCTCATGGTCAAGACACAATTAGGTAAGGTATGCAACTTATCAAGTATGTCTTACTAGTTCCTAACCTTAAAGAAAATCTCTTAAGAATTAGTTAAATGAAGGAGAAAGACTTACTCTAAATAAAAAATTGATGGTGGAATGACCTATAGATAGGCTTTAGTGATCCTATGTAGCATTGATGCAAATACAAAGCAATAATCCACTCTAATAGAAGTTGCTTTATACCACTACTTTCAAGTAATATAGACCTTTATCCTCGTGATCACACTCATCATATAAACTTTCCATCTACTACTATTTTTTAAATATTATCACACCAACTTGCATAAGTATACCAAATTATATTTCTTGTCACCCAAAGCTCTGTTGAATATTGATCATTGATCAAACATCCTTTTGTAGTTCTTTCAGTTTCTCCAATTTGATGTTAATCTTGATGTATTTGTTATTGCGAGTAACTTCACAAACAGATTCTTTTGGCGTAGGTTTCATAATGACAGTATTAGCAACACTATCCAAGAGTAAAAGAATGTAAAGCTCATGTTTGTTTTAACATTATCATACATGAACCTTTAAACCAGTGGTTGGCCTATAATCTTGTTTTCAAGAAACCCTGGAATATACCAAAATGTCACCATTAACCAACTTGTCGGTACAGGATTTAGAAGTTGATCTTCCTTGATGAAGATCATAGCAAAGGACATGAATACTTCTCTAGGGACTAGGCACAGGAATGTAATGCAAACTAAGGGCATCCGAATAAAAAGTAACATAAGCAGCCACATGGATGCAATGACTGATTGACCTTTCGAAATACAGGAATGTGTGTATTTTTTATTCCTGACCCTATATGTGACAAGTTTGAGCAACAGATA